AAAGCCCCAGAGGATCTGGGAATCCTCTCCCAGCTTTGTCTGGAAAGAGCCCTACACCTTCTAGAATGTTCCCCACTTTAGTGTGGCAATTAGCAATCCAGCTGTGGCCCTGGACAAGCACCTTGGCTTCAGAAAACCTTCCTTTTCAGGTTTTCATGCCACACTGGAGGAAGAGCCACCATGTTTGGATGACAGCAGGCATCCTGTGCTCCGGTTTTAGGGTTTACCAGCATCCCGGACCTGCCACATGTGGCCAGGAGAGTTAAAGTAGGACCTAACTGGGGTGTTTGCTGGGCCTGGATCCTCACCAGGCCCCAGAGATCACAGGGATTGCTGGAGGCCTTTAGGGCTCCTGTGGCACTGGGTGATATTCAGTGTCACATTCCCTTCCTTGTTGCCTAATGACCCTAAGCAGGAAATACCTGGTTTTGATCTCTGAAAATCTTGGAGGTAATCATTTCCTCTGACCCCCACCCCCAATTATTTTTATTTTTCCTCTGTGAGGCTGGAATTTGGGTTGGTTGCTGACCTGTTCTTGCACCTCAGTAAATATGACATGTGGACAGTCGGTTCCTTCTAGTTCCTCCCTGACGGCCCGTGCTCCCTGGGACACAAGAATTCGTTTCAGAAGGACAATCCAGTCACCTGATCTGTATTCTGGGCTGGTCACTCAATCCCACCCCACCTGCAGTAATTGCTGAGAAGCATCCTTTCTATCCTTGGCTGAGGCCAGGTATGTGGGAGGGCCAGGAGGGCCAGCCTTCCACTCAGCCACAAAAGCAACTCCAAGGACTCCCTTCCCAGGTTTCACTTTTACACTTTAAAATAAAGAGCTGTTTTTAACTCTTTTGTCTGCTCTTCTGGAGGGGACACAACAGGAGCAAAGCTGGGTTTGGAGAAGTATTTGGTTCATTTTTAATTCTTGTTCTATCCCAGTCCTGATTTCTGGTGAGGATGGGACCTAACATATATATGTTATATATATACAGCCTTACAGGTAGCCTAGCCTAGACTTTTATTTAGAATTCATAACTTTGCTCAGATTAACCTGTAAACCCACTTAGATCACCCTAGTTGTTATCAGGTGAGCTAACCACAGCCTGTGATTTGCTAAGAGTTTAACAGACGGACTGAGATTTAACTAAACTTTCTTCTGTACCGACGCCATCCCTAACCTTGACAGTTGCCAGACCCGTCTTTTCAGGGAGACCATGGAGATAATTTGTACAACCAGGGGGCTAGTCTGGCTTAAATGGCCAGGGTCTAGCCAAAGTGGCCTGGAGGATCTTCTACTGCCCTCCTTACGAACTTTTCTCATTATACCCTCATTATAATAATAAAATCTCCTCCCAGGGTGGAGATTTTCCATCATTTTTGAACATGCGATGTAGATATAGGCACATTTGCTAACTGCGCAGGCGCAGAAATGTCCCCACCTGTATGTGTGATGACGAAGCTCACCTTGGTGTTTATGCATGATTTCTCTGAATGAAGAGGAATCCAATCCTTTGTTCCGGGGTGCGCTGCTCTGGGAGCTATCCCCAATGTGTTACTTGCTTGCTGGCTGGCAATGAAGTTCTTTTTCATAAAATCATCTTGGAATTGTCTTTTGACTGGCAGCTACTGAGTAATTGGACCAGGTTCAGTCTGGTCACAAGAATAGGGGTTACTTCTGGAGTCGCTCCTTTTCTGATTCTGACTTGGTCAATAAAAGGGCATTCATCACTAAATACATATTTCTGTTCCAGGTACCGAGAATACAGTGATGAACAAAACAGATAAAAACCCCTGACTCTGTGGAGGTTACACTTTAGGGAGACATGAAGAAAATAAACAAGATGAGGTAAATATATAATGTGTGGGAAAGTGATCACTGGTAAGGAGAAAAATAAAGCAGGGAAGGAAGATAGGAAGTGTCTGTGAACAGAGGGTAGGTCAAATATTAGAGGAGTGCCAAGTGCTCAGTAACTTTCTGTGTGACTTTGGATCAGTCGCAGGACCTCTTCACATGGTCCTACTTCGAGTTGTCAAAAGGGTTAATGTCCATCTGGAGGACCCAGGGCCCAGTGTGTAAACATATAGAAGGGGCTCAATAAATATTTCTGGAAATAACTTCAGGTGCTTTACACACGCAAGGCATGATGGTGAGGGTGACAATAATGTTTTAAAGGTAAATTCTGAAATTCAGTCTCCTCCTCTCCCTTTTCTTCAGATGACAAGTATCCATGGAATATTCCAGCATTCCTCAGAGCCGTCTGTGGGTCCTGAATGTTCTTGGTTTGCTCTTAGACTGTAATTTCAACAAGGGAATATTCCACATACTTTAAAAAACAAAACAAAACACTGAAAGCACTGTTATGTAATAAACCTCTCCATCCAAAAAAAAAAAAAAAAGGATGGAGGAAAAGCAGAAAGAATATATTTTTTTTTGTCGCTCCATTTACTGGCTGCTCCTGAGTCTTCCTCACAGAAATGTATTAACAGGTTCTGGTTATGCTGCAGCCTCAAAGTAACCTTGGGGTTACCTTGCTGCGTGTCTTCGGGCAACTTGAGTCACATCTCTGGCTTCCCTCATTATCTGTAAATGTGGCTGTCGATTTTAAACAGCCTTTGGGGCTTGTTTGGCAAAAAAAAAGCAAAGGGACCTTTTAAAGCCACTCAGTCAATAATGTCAAACGGTAATAACAATGAGAGGAATGAGTTCCTCTGGGTTCTGCCCTGAGGGAGTCAGAGGCTCTCGGCCTCTGTGGTCTGATCTCAGAGGTAGGCTTTTCAGATCAAATACAAGACACTAAATTTAAAGTTGAATTTCAGAGAAACAAGGGATGTTTTTTCTTTTTTTTCAATGTAAGTATGTCCCAAATATTCCTTTTAGAATCTTCTAGCCAGGAAAGGCAAGCTAACATGTTTAAAAGGATCAGGCAGGGTGACAGCTGGATTTTTATGTGAACGCTCCCTACTATTTAATGTTAACCACATATTCAGTTAAAAAATAAAAAACCAAAAACACACTGTGGATCACAGGAAACAGTGCCATGGCCAGTTCATAAACTGTGATGAAGCCAAACACTTTCAACTATTGTACAGGTTGGGACATGAGGCCTCTAGAAGACAGGTGTCAGCAAGGCCACACAGCTAAGGTTTCTCAAAAGATAACAGAACAACCATCTTGGAAATGTTGAAGATGAGAAGTCTGGAAGAGCCAGGATGGGGGCATTCCATGAAGTCTGCAAAATGTTTTCACCTCCATCAACTGAAGGGACGCTGAGAACTTCTGTAAGGTGAGCAGTTGAGGTCACACGGTGCCTAAGGTCACACAGGTAAATCTCCCAAGATAAGTCTAAAGTTGTCTCTGATTCAGATGAGATAATGTCTAAGCTTCCTTTAGGAGCCTAACAGAGACAAACTCCAAATCCATTTTCTGCCTTATAAACAAAACGGAGTCAGGAGAACAGGCTGAGGGCCCAGACTTTCAACCCAGTTCACAAATAAAGAAGGGTTAAGTAGTTAGGGTTCCCACCATGTCACCAGGCTCATCAGCATTTACCTGTTTTCTGTCTTAGCAGCTATACAGCTTGTCCTATTGCTAGACATTGATTTGCCTCCTATACATCTTCACATAGGAAGGATGTTCTGAAAGTTGTTGATACAGACTTTGAATGGGGAAGGATGTGATCTAAGGCTGTGCAGGGCACGGAAAGGAAGAAGGACAGAAATGGAACAAATATTTAGAGAGCCTAGTGTGTGCCATGCATTGTGAAAGGCGTGGCATATAATTCTTTCCCAGATCTTCGCATGTCTGAATAATTCTCATTTTTCAGGTTTCAGTTCAAACATCACTTCCTCTGAGAGCCTTCCCTGACCACCCTCTATAAAGAGCTCCTCCCTATCGCTTTAACTTGCTCAGTTTCTCCATTGCATTAAAATCTGTAGTTACTTTGCTTATGGATTAGCTCCCCTTACAGATTACAGACCCCATGAAAGCAGGACCGTGTCTTGTTCTCAGGTGTGTATGTTTAGTGCTTATCACGGGACTTGGCACAAAGTAGGTGCTCAACAGATATGTTAAATACTTGTGAATAGATATTTATGAGACTACATACTTATACTCCATCCTTCCTGAAAGAATTTCAACTAATCCTTTAAAATTCTCTTAGCCTCCTGTCCTTTTAAGTAGGAGGTGGAGCTACAGCTCTAGGGAGAGAGAAATAGGAGCGAAGAATTGGCGCGCAGAGCTGTAAAGCGTTTTTCTCCAGGTCATACAGCAGCCTGTGAATTTATGCTTCCTGGACCGATTATGGGACAGCTTGCAAACAAATTAACTGCAAACGAACGAAGCCTATTTTCAAAGAGCCCTATGCCTCGGAGCTCCGGGCGATGACATCAGAGTTCCATCCCCGAGCCAAGCCCTGTGGTCCTCGAAAACTACGAACCCCAGAATGCTCCGCAGCGCAGGGGCCCCAAACTCCGCGCCCAACTCGCCCGACGTGCCCGAGCCCGCCTCCCCTGGAACCAGGAAGACGCCCTATCCCCAGGCCGCCACGCCGCGGGGACCCGCGCGGCGCCTGCCGGGACTTGTAGTTTCGCTGGTTGGGAGTGCCCGCTCCGGAATCTCGGCCGCCGTCTGGGGACAGAGGCGGCGCGGGTACGCGTGCGCAGTGCACGGTGGGCCGTCCTGGGCACCGCTCCGGCAACTGGGCGCCTGTAGGATCCGCGGCCGCGGCGGTGCGGGTGTTCCGGGCTGAGGGCCGTGGTGAAGTTCAGCGTGAGGAGCGCGGCCGCGCCGGGCGAGGGGGGCGGGGCCGGGCTTCGGGAGCGCCGCGCCGGCTGAGGCGAGCTGGGAGGCGGCCGCGCGTTCGCCGAAGGGCCGCAGGCGCTGGTGAGTGCGGGGCGGCGGGCGGCGCGGGGTCCCCGGCGGTGACTCCGCGGTTCCTCTCCCCACGTGCCCGCCCCGCGCCGCTGCACCTGGGCGAGGCCGCGGGGTCGACTCACCTGCGCGCGCGAGCTCAGGGCGGCGGGAGGGGGCGGCGTTCTCTTGCCGCGGCTTCTTTATTGTTTTCCTGACCTCAGCCCCGCGTCCGGCCGAGGAGGGCGGGGAGGCCCGCGGCTGTCGCGGTTGGCGACGGGCTCCTCGGTGGCTCCGCTCAAAAGTACAGTCGCACCCTCGTCCGGGACACCCCGCGCCGGCCAGCTGTTCGGGGATTCCCGGCGGGCGACGCCTGTCGTCGGAGTGGCTGGACTCCGGGGCTGTGCCCACGGGGGCTCCGCTGCCTTGGGCATCGTCGTCCCGTGTCTGGATGCGCTTTCGCTTTAGGACTCACCGAGTCAGAAGTGGGCTCCGCCCTGTGTCACAGAATCCCATCACATCAGCGTTTCACCTTCGCACCTGAACGCTGCCGGCGCCTGGTGCGGGCGTGGAAAGTGACTTGCCCAAGGTCACACCGGCAGGACCGGGGAGGCGACCGGAGCCGGGTCTGTCTTTAGGCGTCGAGGCCAGCCGCCCGCGGCGGCGCCGCTTGGGGGCCGCCCGGAGTGGTTTGTGGTTTAGCGCATATGCTTTCTATGGACTCCCCTGCAGAGCCCGTCCGAGGGGAAAGCGGTGTCATCCTGAGAGCGGTCTTGTTGCCTCCAGCATTTGCCGCCTTGGGTAGGACGCCCGTCAGGCCGTGCCCCGGAGCTGGGCATCTGAACAGTGGAACCCAAGTGGCTGCGTTTGGGGTTTGTCCCGTGAGGAGGTTGAAGGGGGAGGAAATGGGCAGGCGATCGGGGGTGCTGGTTTGGGTCGCCCTCGGATCCCATCGTCCTTGTTGGCCCCATCGGTCGCGGTCTGTTTTAATATTTGCTCTGCTGTAATGAAGTCATTGCCCTTTGTGAATTCGTGTTCTTGCTAGAAAATCTTATTTCCTGTGTGTGCTTAACGACTGGAACGAATAGCGCAGTATGCGATCTAAACCATTGTCTTTTATCTCAGAGCTGCGGATCGGTCTGCTTTATCCCCCCCCCGCTCATCTTACACACTTGGCTGTTAGTTTAAGGCCATCGAAACACAGTTACAGCAGAATTTGGGTAAGCTTTCTGTGGTTCAGAGAAAAGCTCCAGTCCTTCTGTAAAACTATGTTTTTCTCCACCATCTGAAGCACTGTTATTTCAGAACTAGCGCGCTTCATTTTGACTGAAATGCCTATTCCTTGGCCGACTCAGGTTTTCGTATTAACACGCTTGTGGCAAAAACTATTTCCCCAAATAGAGTTCGTTTAATACTCCTTATCTTGGCCAGATCTTCCCAAGAGAAATTACGTCTTAGAATACTTATGTATTTAAACAAGTATATTTAAACTTAGCAGAATTTGGGTTTAAATAGGTGATTGTGTTTTATAGCGCTGTCAGCCATACCGTGTATCCATTGACGGTTTCTCTTGAGGAGCAGACCTGCCTTAAGAGAGATGGCTGTGAATTTGCCCTTTGTGGTTAAGCAGTGGATAACTTTTTGAGCTTAAGAAGATTGAAACTGCTTCATATCTCACTTTATTTTGTTAACTGGTATTTTTATTGTTGCTTTTGGGGGAAGTAGTGGGTTTGTAGCTTTCTGTTTTCCCATTTTAGCAATGTAGCAAAATAGGGAAGAGGTGGTGTGCAAATTTGAGTTTGTCATACACCAGGAGAGACAGTAAAACAGGATAAGTATACAATTGTTAAGGAAATTGCCGTGAGTTCATAAGCCGGAAGGACCTTTTTAGAAATGTTTAAAGACATTAAGAATAGCATTCGATTATTTTGTTTAAAAAGTCACTGTGGGCAATACTCACACGTTGTTAATGTGTAGGATATGTTATATTGAAAACTCCTAGGACAATACTTGGGAAAGATGGAAACATTTTATAATTTTATAGGGACTTTTTCTCTAAAAACATTTAACGCACTTAAAAAAATTGACTTTTATTTAAGCCTGAGAGTTCTTATAGCCATACTGGAAAGCCCACAGTTATTTTGACTCTGTGGTAATTCGTAACCCAGAATGAAATCTGTGAGGTAATTTATGAGCATAATTAAGTCACCTTGCTATTGAAATATTGCTTGATATTAAATAGTTGCATAAATAACTCATTTAAGAATGGGGACAATAGTTTTATGAATAAAATGTAATTATTCAGATGTGAAAATAGTTACACTCTGGTTTTATTAGATAGAAAATTTCAAGCACTGTAGCAGTAACTACCTCAGCTATGAGCTCAGGTAATATACAAATGCTACCTTTTCACATGCTTGAGCATTAAAATTTGATATTGCATTTCAAGATAATTCTCTTCCTCTCACTTCAGATCTGCAATGATACAATAAAATGGCTTCAGTGGGAGATAAATATTGAAATTTAGTTTAATTCTTTTGACCATTTGTACGTATACAGTGTTTGGAAGTTTACTGATGTAGTATCAGGAATGAGTTCTTAGGGCAGAAACTTTTGGTAGCTTTGAATGCTTCTCTAGAATGCTTAATTATTTTTAGAAACATAAAAAAATGGACTATTTTTTACTTAAAAATAAAAATTCCTGTTGGTAGTTGTTATAGCAATAGGACTATTATGTTTAATGAGTAACGTTAAACCATTTGAGCTCTTAAGTGATATTTTTCCCTAGTAGTTCCTGTGTGATAAAGAATGTGAGCTTATAATTCCTAAAAGATATTTCAGCAAACATGTTTGCTGTTTATTTTGGTAAGCCTTTCGATTAGTTGAATTGCTTTGATTCAGGAAGATAGTGTTTGGAGGATTTTATATCATAAACTTTTTGGCGCTGAAATTTCTGTTGAATGTAAAAGAAAATCAGTCATTTGGGATATTTTTAAACATTTAAGTAAGTCTGAGAGTCTTAAATAAACATTTTTAAGTCTTAAATAGGTTTTTCTACATAGAATCCTTATCAGACTTGTCAATCTGATAGTTTTATCTTCCAAAAGTTATGATTTTATCCCTTTACACAGCCTCGCTTTTCATGGGTTTAACCATTGAACTCTGGATCCTGTATTCAGTTTATCCTCTTCTTGAAGAAAGGACAATCACAGGCACTTAGAGTTGGAAGCACTCTCAGAGGATTTCTAATGTAGCATCTTCCCCAGTGCAGTTAAGTCCCCCATGGGAATTTCCACGGCAGGTGTTCCCTCATTACTAAGGACACTGATGCTGTTCAGTATGTCATCGGGTTATTGAGCAGTCTGAGCTTGGTGAGCACAAATAGAAAAGGTTTTTTTCCCTCCCCAATACTCATTGCTTTCAACTATGATTTGTAGGATATTCCTTTTCCTCCATCTCCTGTGACATCTTGGGCAAATGATAGCTTTTCTACATTTACAGCTATTAAAAGCTGCAGTCTAATCTATCTCCGTTTAAACCTTCAATCTCCTATTCAATTTAAAGCCCCTCTCCTTATCCCATTGTCAGGCCACTTACGCTGGAAGCATTTGGAGTGAGGATGGATTGTGATGTGCCCCCCAAGATACCGCTTACTCTTTACCTTTCTGGGATCTCCTTATACAGGGACTAGTCAGAAGAAAAAGGAAAAGGACAAATATTTCTTACCTGGTACTTACCTGGTACTATTAAAAAGCCCTCTTTTGATAATCATGACACGCCACTGATATCCACTGATAGGCATCCAAACTGGAAGTTTTGGTGATATTTCTCAAGGAGACTCCCCCTACAGAGTTGCTGACTATGAAATTTGCTGCAGGTAGGCCTTTTCCAACCTACACGCCCACCTCCTCATTCTTTCCCTGTCAGTCCACCCCTGGTTTCTGTGAGTGTGTGAGCGGGAGGTAGGTTGGGGATCTTCTCTTTCTGCAGCCAGATTTTTTGATGCCAGCAAGATAGGTCAAGCCCAGCTACCTTCTGCCACTTAACCCGCTGGAAACTCACTTCCTTTTGGTGCCAAATGGTGGCAGGCAGGCTGCTTAATTTTTCCCCCTTTCTCTGCCTTGCCATTTCTCACCAATTCTCTTTTTCCCCTTTCGCCAATAGGCATAGGGTCAGTCACTTAGTCCACTTCATAAGCAGACATTGAACTGGAGAATGAGATGCCAGTGCCTCCTTCTTGTAGGCACTTCTTCTCTTGGTGAATGATTCTCTTGGGTGCCCCCTGCCACCGTTTTTGGGTGAATAACCCCTTCCTTTCCTCTCCCTGAAGACTTGAAAGACTTCTAATTTTTTCTCTCTCTTCTGTCAACTACTTGTATAGTGTGGAATGATAGTAAAGCTTTCGTTAGGGTGCCAGAGCCCTGAGGGGTGTGTGTGGGGGAGTGGGGGTGGGGCATGTTAGTACTGGACTCAACAGATGTTTGATCCTTGACGTCTGTATATCCTCAGCTTTGTGTTTGTCAGCAGTTTTGGGACAACAGGGTTAGTCCCACCCAACATCTAGTTAACAAGTAATAGAGAAGTCCTGTGGGCCTAATGACATCTCACTGCAGAATTTAATTGTTCTTTATTTTTCTTTCTGATTTTTGTTTTGTGTTTGTTTTTTGGCTTACTTCCTTGTTCCTGACTGATGAAGTGTTAACTGTGAGTGTGTTAACTTATTACTGATTGTGTTATCTAATTACACCTTAGAACATAAGTAATATTGAAGGATAAATTTTGATGAGGTTTTACTAATATAATTTTATCTATTTTTGCCTCATACTAGCTTTACTAAAAATATAAATCCAAACAGAAATATAGTGTTTGAATCTTTTTCCTTACATCATCTAAACAGACCAGTCAGTTAAATCTGCCAAATGATTTCTTCTCTGATGAGGAAAAAGCAACATTTTATTTGGAAAATTAAACATTCATATTTGTTGCAGTAATTATGGGCTTCTTAATGCTTCATTCAACAAATAATTATTGAGTGTCTTCCTTGTGCCAGCCACTGTTTTCAGCATTGGAGAAACAATAGTAAATAGAAAGAAAAACAAATCCCTGCTCTCATGGAATGTACATTCCAGTGTGGGGAAACAGACAAGAAATAGGCAAATAAGTAAATGATATTGTTTGTTAGCAATAAATGCTAAGAAGTAGAATATGCTAAGGGAATGCTAAGGAGAAGCAGGGGTGAGAGGTGGGAAGTGGCAGGACAGTTTGGAGCATTTGCAGTTGTAGCTATGGTGTCCAGGGAAGGCTTCAGTAAGGAAAGGACATTTGAGTTAAAAGGCTGTGAGTGGGAGCTTGTCTGAAGTATCAAGAGTCCATTGGGCAGATGAGTGAGTGATGGGGGGATTGGGACAGGGTGAGGCGGTGGGCAGATGAGGCCTGTATGTCTTTGTAAGGGCTTTGGTTTTTACTTTGAGAGAGATGGGCTGCATTAGAGCAGTGGTTCTTAACCCTGGCTGAACACTGGAGTTATCTATCTCGGGAGCTTTGAAAATGCACTGATGCCTAGATCCCATCTCCACAGTTTCTGATTTAATTAGTCTGGGGATTCTAGCCTAGGCCTCAGGATTTT